ATATCTATATCTATATCTATATCTATATCTATATCTATATCTATATCTATATCTATATATATTTTAAACTTCCCTGAGAGTTTTTAAATTTTACAACATGCACCATAAAGTCTTGATGATGATGGGGGCCAGTTTCCCTCAGCGCCAGTGAGCTAGCCAGTGCTTCTTGCCCATACAGCCTGGGAGATCTTCTGCGATCACAAAGAGGAAGCTGCCAGAAAGAAAGAAGGAAAGGTAACCTCTCTGGAGGTAAACTTTGGTCAAACCTGGGTTTCTCAGCAGTGTTTCAGAAATGTCCATTGAACACCCGCATACCCAGCAGGAACACGAGCCTTACACAAAGGACACAGATGCATTCATCAACAGTTCTACACCCCTAGAGATAATTTCCATATAACCCGTATCAGCCCCAAATCATCACAGCAGGTTTGCCTTGAAGCTGATTCAGGCAAGTGAGATACGGAGACTCAAGAAGAGCTGAGTTTTCATTCCCGGAGCATGTGGTGTATGTGGGATGCGGTGTGGGTTCCAAGAGTTGATGTAAATACTTGCATTTATGGCCTATCTATTACGGAACATGCCAACCTGTGGCCATATTATATTTACCCAAGTCAGTAAAAGGCCTCGATAAACCAAACAACAATCCATGGAATACCAGTGTCTGGTGGAGTTTGGTGATAGTTCTCCTTCTTTCCTATTTCCACTCACTTATCACATATTTGGAGGGCACCCACTATACGGGCGCCAGGCAGCCTTGTAGTCCCTACAAAAGTGAGCAAGGTGGGGAAGGAGGTTATACGCTTAGAAACAATAAACAAGCAAATAAACAGGATGACTTCGGAGCATGAAAGTCCTACCAGGGACATAACTGAGGAGATGTGACAGGGAGTGGCTAGGGGCCAGGAGTGGGAGAGTCACTGTTGACCAGGCCATCAGGGAAGGCTGCTCTTAGGAGAAGAGCCTGGAGCGGAGATCCATGGCTAACAGGAGCAAGCCATAGAAGGAGCCACAGGGAGGGCCTTCCAGGAAGAGGAAACTGCAAATGGGCAGGTCTACATCTAGCAAGAGCTTGCTGTGTTCAAGGAGTGGAAGCAAGGCAGACAACTGTGGCAGAACACCATGGTGGAGGAAGGAGGACCGTGCAGGCTTGAGGAAGGATTCTGACCAGGTACAGGAAGCTGGAGGTAGATGATGAGCAGGAAAATGACCTGAATTACAAATTACATATTTAAAGGAGTACCCAGAGGGCAGCGGCTGTGTGGGGAAAGCAGCATGTAAGTCTCCCCTTTCTCCCTTCTTTCTTCTGGGAAGATCACGGGCTGCAGAAAGCTCAGCCTTGCCTCTCCTTCACTCAGCAGGACCTCCATCAAAGCCTGAAACCCAATGCTCTCCTGTGGCAGGAGCCCTGCTGGAGGTGGCAGCCCGGGGGGACATCTGGATGCCTTTACCCGGAGCTGTCCCTGACTTGCTGACAGCTCTTCTGTCCTGAGTATTCTGTTGCTTCACATTTCCCTCGGGGGGGAAAAGGAGGAGGAAGTTTTCTGTCTCCAAGAGAGCTCTTGAGGGAAATTACATGAAGCCCTGAGACTAGATGTGCTGAGAGGGAAAATTTTGGCTGGTGGCCCTTTCTAGATGGGGTGCACACCCTGCACCAAGGAGCAAGCAAAGGCAGAGGGTCATTTTCCAGACTCCTGGCCTGCAGTAGGCAACGATACTTTGGGGTGGGGGTAGGGTTGGGGTGGGAGGGTGAAGCTGCATCACTTCCTTTTTGGGAAATGCCCCTCCCTAATCCATGTCTTCAGTAGATAGTTTGACATTCACGACCAAAGCTCCGAAGAGAAATCTAATCTGGAAATCGAGATTTAGAACTCAATGGGTGGCACGTGAAGTCATAAAGGGGAATGAAGAATCTTGGGGAATGTCTGTGGAATAAGAAGAGAAGACCAAAACCCTATCTCTAGAGACATCAACATTTCAGGGTGAGCAGAATAAGAAGAAACAGAGGGCCAGGGGAGAGGCATGACCAAGGAGAGGGAGAGTCCTTCAAGAAAGGGTGTGGCCAACAGGGCCAACCAGAAATCCACGACCAGAAGCCCCGCTGCAAATGTGGCTGGTGCTTCAACAATTGGCTGGTACTCACTGTTACCCAGGCAACAGCATCCAGTTCTTTGAATAGGTCTGGCTTTGTGCGTGGAGGTAAGGGGTGGGGGAGGAGGGAGAAGGAGATGTCAGAGGCGTGGGACACAGATTCGGCAAAGGTTTGTTTCCCAATGAGGATTAACCTCAGCCAAGTTCTGTAGAAATTGGCCAGATGCCAAGGTTGGAGGAGAAACTATTCCAAGCAGAGGAGGTAGCAAGGGAACATCCTGGCCACTGCCTGCCATCTAGTATGCCCGCACTGTTGGGTGCATGTGCGAAAGTCGTGAGAGATCCGGCTACAGAAGACAACGGTGTGTCAACAGGACTTTCGGTCTTATTAAAGAGTTTACATTTTCTTTCAAGGCAATAGGGATCCACCAAGACATTTTAAGCAGAGGGCTGATATGATTAAATTTACATCTTGGACTGATCACCCTGGCAACAGAGAGAGGCTGTTGCATTAATGCAAGGTGAGAAATTATGAAAGACTGGCAGTGAGGGTGGATTTGTGATATATTGCGGAAGAAGAATTGTCAGCGCATTTCATATTTACTGGCAAAATTAGATGTTGACACCCTAAGTCAGGCTTGATGGCAAAGGCTGCCAGTAACAGAATTTCCAGTTATTAGCTGGGCACACGGCTCCCCAAAATAAGAACTGCATATCCACCTTCCTTGCCACTGTAAGGGCCATGTGACTAAGTTCCGTCCAATAACTTGTAAAGTGCGTGAGTCTTAACCTGGGAGCCTTCTTTGTAAATGACCCACTCCCTACCCTCTGCCTCTCTTATCTTTTCCTCCTTCCTACTGGAAGTGATGACTGGAACTGGGGCAACCATTTTGGACCTTGAGAGGACCATGACCTTAAGAATAGAGGTCAAACATAGCAAAGAAATAAGGGAGAAGGAGTCTCTGGGTCCCTGAGCCCTTCTTGGAGCAGAGCATCCTTATCAACCCAGGAGCACCTACCTCCAGCACCTACCTTTCCTGGTAGAGATAAACTTTTTTTTTTTTTTAAATCTTATTTAAGACACTGTTATATTAGACCTCTTTTAACCTTTTAACTAAGAGAGCTCTCTTTTTCAGCTGTTGATAAAATCACAAACTCTGAGGGCCATGATTCTGTACCACCCCTCAGCTTTTAGCATATTCCCCCTTTTGTCTCTAGTGTCGTTTTGGATCCTTGGCACTGAATGCACAGCCCTATATCTAGTAGGTGCTCAGTAAACACTGAAGAGGAGGAGGAGGGTGCAGTATCCAGAACTGCTTTCTTGTTTTCAGAGGTTGTTAATCATCAGGTCACAGAAGAAATTTGCAATGTGAATTTCATCATGCAAAATAGTTAATGCCTTGCCAAGGCATTCATCCCAGCAGTGTAAATGAGTAGGGAGGAGAGTCCGGGAAGACTGACTCTGGTTACCTCACCTGGGGACATGCAGCCTTGAAAACACTGACTCTTGCGCTCCTGGGGGGCCCTGATTTGCATCCATTTACAGCAGGAAGAGAAGGGAATTCAGCATCAGGGTGAACTTGGAGGAAAGCTGTGGCTAAGGTTCAGGTGAGGACATTGGCTGACTCCAGGCTGGCCCCTCTCCCAGCAGCCTATGCTTCTTCTTTGTAGCATACATACCCTTTACAACAAATTCATGTTTCCTGCACTTCTTTGTTCACTCTGTCTCCTCTACTAGAGCACTAGCTCCACCAAAATCGGGAACCAAGCCTGTCTTCTTCACCCTGACACCTGAAGCACTTCCGTGCTCAAGAAAATCCTGGTTGAGAAATAAACAAATGAATCAACCTTTTCAGGCAAAGAGGAAAGAGATTCACCGACAGAATCAGTCACGCTGTACATGGGAAAACCCCTTTGCAAGTTGTAAGGAAATTATTGTATTGATACATAAGATTATTCACTCTGTGGGTGAGCCCTGGTGGGAGTCTGGATCCTGAGTCGGCTTCCTGAGCTCAATTCCTATCCAGCCACGTAACCTTTCTTACCCAGTACTCCAGGAAATGCGAATGATTTTCAATATTCACTTAAAATCAAAATGAACAGTAAATCAGTTGGGGTCAAAGAGAACAGGACAATCAAAGGCTGTGCCCAAAGTCAGACTGAAATGACTGTGAGATTGTCCCCGCGCCCGGGCTTGGGAGCCGGGCCTGGGCTGGGTGGGGAGCAGCGCGCGTTTGCCCGCGAGGAGCGGGTGCGGGGGGAGGGCGCCCTCTGCCGGGGGTGAAGGAAGCGGCGTCCGCACGCGCGGCCCCCGGGTCCGCGGTCCGTCCCGGACCTGGGAGCGAACACCAACTTCTTCCAGGGGGAAAGGTAGAGGGGAAGAAAAACCCACTCCAAGTCCCGCCGAGGAGGTGTTCTTCACAGATCTTTTTCGTCCCCCGCCTTTACAGCCCCAAACTTCCCCCGGCTCAAGGGGAAGGACCGCGGTTGCCTGCAGAGACTACTGATCGCCCTGGTCCCAGAAAGCTGAGGTGCACCCCACTTCCCATCCCTGAAGTCCAAAGAATGAAGAGATTGCTTGAAACGATCAGAAATGGCAGGTCTTGAAGGACCCGCAGGACCCTCTTTTGACCAACGTTCCCTTCCCCTCCCCGAGTTGTGAAGCGCAGGGGCCGGAGACCCTCGGGCTGGATCTCCGCGTGGGAAAGGGGACCGAGTGGGGCCTGAGCGCCTGGAACTGGTCCTGGGGGTCCTGGGGGTCCTGGGGGACCGCCTCCAGGAGGTTTTTCGAAGGTAAGGGAGAGGCGCGCCGGACCCACGTGGGGGCCGAAGCCGGGCTCTGTTCCCCGCCTCACCAGCCCCCCACTCTGGTTGCTCATCTACAGAATCAGGAGGCGGGATGAGATGGTCAGATGGCCCCAGCCCTGTAACCCATGAGCGGTTGTCTGTCCTATTTTAGACCCGGACTGTGGCAGCGGGGGGAGCTGAAGAACAGAGGATGGTTTGGAGTGTGACCCAGAAGAAAACAAGGGGTGGGACCAAGTCACCAGCTCCCTTCACAAGGAAGGCATAAAAGGCCTCCTTAAGGACCCGGTCTCTCTTTATTGAATCGGGGGTGACACCTAGTGGCTCATCCGCCTCACCGTCACGGCGGTGCTGGTTCTCTGGGGTATCAGAAGCCGCACTTGCCTGTCCTTGGTACTCTCAGCTAAAAGCTTTGGAAGCGCCGGCGGGCGGCTACGGCTGACGTGTCCCGGACTTCCGGGGCTCTGGCCACAGCCTTTTTCCTGCCGGGTATGCAACTCCAAGTTAAATGCTCTTCTGGTCTGTCGAGCTGGCTTGGGCACATCCCTCACTCTCAGGCAGCAAGTAGGTAGTGAGCGATACAAAGAAGCTAAAGCTTGGTCCCTGCCCTCAGGTAACTCACAGCCCAGCTTGGGGAGAATGGAGCGGTAAACAAATATGATATTACATCGGACAAATATTGAGTGTTTGTTGGATGCTGTGGGGGTCACAGAAGGGGACTTTAGCTCTGCCTAGAGGCATGGAGGAAGGCAATAATCCTTGAGCTAAGTGGTTTTCCACCCCAATTTTATTTAAATTCAAGTTAGTTAACGTCTAGCGTATTATTCGTTTCAGGGGTAGAATTCGGTGATTCATCAGTTGTGTATATATTAGATGATGTGGTAGGCAGAAGTTTATGGTGACCCCCAAGGTTCCCAGCCTCCAATGTACACACACCTTCTTCTGGTTATTCAAACACTGATTTAGGTTTCAGCTGTAAGAGATTTTGCAGGTGCAATGAAAATTCCCAAATCAGCTGACTTTAAAATCTGGAAATTATCCTTGGTGGCCCTGACCTAATCAGGCAACTTTTAAAAGAGACTAGGCTTGTCCTGGCAAAGGAGATTTAAAGCATGAAAAGAATGTATCCTGGGTGAGATTCTCATCTGCTAGCTCTAGAGATGAAGGGGGACACATGGCAAAGAATGTGGGCGGCCTTTAGAAGCTGAGAACAACCCCGGGCTGACAGCCAGCAGAGAAGGAGGAGAAACTGAATTCTGCCAACAACCAATGAGCTTGGAAGAGAACCCTGAGCTCTACATGAGAACACAGCCCCGGCTAACGCTGTGATTTTAGCTTTGTGGGAACCTGAGCAAAGAACCAGCCATATTGTGCCCGGCGGCTAACTTCGTGGCAATTTGTTATACAGCCATAGAAAATAGGACAGATGGCAATTTGAAAGAGAGGAACAGCATGGACGAAGGCTCAGAGGCATAAAGCAGCAAGATGCATTTGGAAAACTGAAGTCATTCGGGATAGGTGAACGGGAAGCGTGGGAAGCAAGGGAGGTGGTAAAATGTAATGCTGAGAACTTGGCTTTGGGTCAGAGAGACTGTGCCCTTGGGCTAGTTAGTTCTTAGTTCTCTGTGCCTCAGTTTTCTCAAAGGTAAAATGGGGCTCATACTAGTAGTTAAAACAAAGCACTGTTTAGTGGGACATATGCATTTGGAAGTTTCAACACCGTCTTGAGATATGATAAGTGTTCGAAAAATAGTGGGTAGTCATAGCTGTAGCAATTAATCATGTGCAGAATGGATCAGACTGAGGAGAGGCTAAGTGATGTGGTTTCCTACAGTGCAGTTGGAGACCCCCTTACTGGGATGGGCTGGAGAGCTTATTAAAAATGCAGATGCCTGAATCCTACCTTGAGTCCAGACCACATCAGACTCCTGGGAGGCGGAGAGACTCTGCAATTTCAGAAACTTCCCAGGTGACCTTTGTGAGATAACTAGGCCTTGGTAATAGTGCAGGTGAGAGCCAGTGACTGACAGAATCAAGCAGGGCATCGGCAGTGAGAACGGGAGGAGGGTGGCCGACTCCGAGGTAGGTAAGATCTGCAGAACGGGATAACTGAGCAGGAGGGACGGCGAAAGGGGCCAGTCAAAGGATGAACTGGGGACATTTTGGGGGGGGGTAGGTGGAGGCAGGGACATTGACTCAGGTTGAGTCCTGAGAGTCCAGGCATCCATGGGACATCCTGCTGGAAAGTCATGTAGACAGCTGGAAGGACTAAAATTAGGAAGTAAGTTGGGGCTGGAAATACAGTTTTGAATGTCTGCGAGGATAAGAAGCCATGGGACAGTGCCTGCAGAATGAGAAGGTGCTCTGGAACTGAACTTCGCATGGACCCGTCAGAAGGGCTGGCTGCGTGCTGTGTGGGGAGGGGTCCAGGAAGGTGGCCGTGACGGTGTCGCTGGCCTTGGAGCAGTCCAGATGGAGAAAGTGTGAACGCACCCCAAGACCTAGCTACCAGCCGCTTATTGGCAGGATGGGTGAGGCCCATTTCGGTGGTGTGAGGAAGGGGGAGGCCAGACCTCCTCAGGCAGCAAGTAGGGCTTGTGCTTCAGAATCATGGCTGTGAGGAGGGAAATCGGGTGGGATCTTGAGGCGTACACAGGCTTCCCCTCGTATCCGTTGGTATGAACCCAGACACATGGCCAACAACACCGTGACTCTGGCTGGGGCCCTCTGTGCCTGCCGGACCGGACTCAGGCTCTCAAAGAAGGGGTGCCCAGGTGCCCAAGGTTGAGGGTGCAGATACATTTATAGGTGTGGGACTGGGCCCATGACGCAGGAAAGGAGTGGGGTCGAGTCAGGCTTCTCCCTGGAGAGAAGGAGGCAGGGAAAAGGTGAGGGCCCACAGGCCGAAGGGTCGCTGAGGGCCCCGCTGGGATTAAATACAAGAATCCCGCACTAGTGATGCTTACCTGACACCCGGGTTCTCCGGGATGACACCCATAGTGATCGGCCTCGGAAGCACTAATAAGCGGCAGCTATCCCAGGGTTACCATTATTGTTATTTTATTACCCAGGCATTGGCACCTCTCTGCCCAGAACCTTCTGATTGCTTCCTACCTCACACAGAGTGAGAGCCGAAGTCCTAAATTAGGAGCTGAGCCTTCCTCTGCCGGCCCCCCGCCCCCACCCCCAGCCTGGACTACTCACTACCCCCAGCACTCTGGGCACCAGAAGCATGGACTCCAGCACAAGCAGTACCCAGAGAATTTTCTTTTCTCTCCTCCCAAAGTCCCTGGAACAGCACACGCTGGTGCTCTATAAATACTTGTGAAGTGAATGTGAGGGAATTTCCTGGAACTTTAGAAGGAGCAGTATTAACACCAACATCCGGTCCGTCTGTTCCTGGACATGTACCAAGCAACACTTTATTTTCAAAGTGGATCTCAGCAGCTGAGGCAAGCTCTGGGGTCTTCTGCCCAAGAGAGGAGAGCAAAGAAGCAGAGATCAGATACCAGAACCACATTGCCTGGTCCAAACCCTAGATCCACTGCCTACTTGGGTAACCTCTCTGCCTCAGTTTCCTCATATGTAAAATAAGGATAATTGTAATAATTCATAAGGTTGTTATGTGAGACTATATATAATATACATGTATATTTAACACATATATAATAGATAAATATTTCTGTGTGTATATGTGTATACACACACACACACATATATTTTTTTTAACAGTTCCTGGTATATGCCAAGAACTGGGAATGTTTGAGAATTCACCCTACTTGTAAGCTCATAAGTTACCCCACCACCCTTTCGTAAATGTTGGCAGATGACGCAAGATTCTGGTCAGAGGCAAAGGATGAAGGACTTTATTGCTCTCATCAATAGCAACGGCCAGAGTATCAGCATTTGTGCCAGTTTCCTGAGCCCGATTCTCATGGATCCAGGCAAAGATGATGCCCTCACGTACAGTGCGTTGTATTATAGGAGCTGAGCCCTGAGCTTAGGGAGCCAAATATTTTATCATGGGCAGTAAGCATTGCTCTTTGCTTCAGTGGGAGATACT